AAATCTGTGCCTTGGCTTATTCAGGGTAGAATAACAACAATGTATAAAGATGTAATGTAAAGCTATGTTGTCTAACTTCAGAAATGTTTATCTTATAGAACAAAAGAGATAAGAACATCCTAATTTAATCTGTGTAAGCCAAATATCACTTATTGTGAAGATGGGGCTAATGTTACAAAAATGACCAGTTTTAATACATTAAGTAGAATATTGAGTAAAGCTTTAATATATTTGTTTCAACATTGGTCACACCACCTCAGATTTTACTTACAGCTGTGCAACGAATTTGGAACATAATTGATTAGTAATCTTGTCTCCTAATTTCCAGAATATGCCAGGAAAAAAAAAATAATTTTGCTTAAAAAACATTTTCCTCATTGTGTGGATTATTCATAAAACATACCATAGTGGCAAAGGCGGGTTTACTTGTTGTGTTTTTTATTTACAGGTCACAAATAGGGCTTATTCCCATGGAAGCTGCATTACCGTGGCAGAACTAAACACTGTCAGAGCACCCCTTTCCTCAACCTTTATGACTCACTCTCAATGCACACAAGTACGTACACTGGAGTGAGTCATGACAATTGATGACAATAAATGGATGTTATTGCCTATAAAATACCATGTACTGAGCTTCTCCTCATGGAGTACATGCTATTCATGAAGTACATGGTTATTAAAGGGAAAAGTTGAATGTTGTTCTGTTCCATTTTCATATGAGTAATATATTGGTGCCTGACATGACAATTTAATGAATGTAAATTGAATATATACAGTGCAATAGTAGCACTGCAATCTGCAACCAATGTCCATTTCTGACAGTAATATAGTTACAAATCATTTTGACTAAGCTACAATGGGTGTAGGACTGCATTACACTAATTTTTTGGCTCACACCTTTATTTAACCTGTATGCCAAAAGCAAAATGTGAAGATTAATTTTAATTAATAATTAAAATGAATGAATATGCCCTTACTGGAAATAAGAATAATTATGAAGTCTTGATATAATATGTGTTTCACTCATTTCTTTCGATCATGTGAAGATGGCTGGTCATGTCAGTCGTGTTTTCTTTCTTTTACACTCACTTCAGATCATTTTCTCAAGCACGTCTCTACTAATAAGTTATTGTCAGTTCTGCAATAAGACCTGTATGCTGAACTGCATGCTGACTTTTATTGGTGGTTTTGACACTTGCTGGTAATTTTCCATTACTTTTGGTAGTACAGTGAAAGCAATAGTTTTGTGGATGAGGTAAAAAAGCTGTGCATTAATGGGACAATGTGGACATAACACATGGACAAATAACCACCAATGTATTGTTTCCTGCTGAATCCTCAATTCATTATTTTTTTATTATATCACAACACAACTTTGACAACTCTGTCTTTGCATCATGGCTCACAGCGACAATCCCTGTACCCACATGAGGAGAATCAGGATGGGCACATGGGCTTTTCTGACCTCCATTTGTTTTTTGACATGTTGCAGTCAACAAGACCGATTGGAGAAGAACAGAAAGTAAGCAAGGCTGGGCCTGGACAGTATTTAAACAGGAGATCTCAAAGGCAAACTACGAATGGACCTGTAGGTGGCACTCTTCCCTCTGGTCACGAATTAAAAAAAACAATACCCCAGAAATAGCGACAGGGGACTCTACGCACTGTGACAGCTAGAAATGCCATCCTATGCTTTCTGGTGATTAAAGAACCCCCTGGCACATACCGAATGAACGCGGGTGTTACCCCTGGTGTCCTGGCTTCACTCTGGGGTTACTGAATCAGGATAAGTGCCTAGTACACACGAGCCAGCAGGGCTGCTGGTGCATAACAGCTGCTGTGCATCACTGAGGCAGGGCTGCACTTTAGTGGTGAATGAAGTGAGTCCCTTGCTTTGTGTAATTATTTTAGTTAGATTCTTTAGGTTAAACTGCGCTATGTAAATGATAGAAATGATTCAAATTATGTGATAAAAATATATATATATACGCATATCCAAAGAACGACAAAGAGGAGAAAATCAAATCCAAAACATTGACTTCAGATCTGGCACTTGTACATCAGCACTGCTAAATTAGATTTTTTTATTAACCTGGTGCAAATATTTAACATCTGTGATATCATTAACATCATGTACGTCTTTTGCTTGGAAATGTTTCAGGTTAGACGGCACTTAAATTAAAGCTCTCTGCTGGCTCCTAGCAAAGGCAAACACAAAGATCTGATTATAGTCACAAGGCACCAGCAATTCCATTAACATCACACGAATTAAGCTTTTATCTGATCATGTGATCTGTAAATGAACCTGAACGTCTGTTTGAGAATATGTTTACAGGATTTAACAATAATCTTTCCATAAATAAACCAAGGGTGAACTAAATGCACAAAGCCATGAGCAATAATTACAGAAGGATATGTGAGAGGCAACAAAAATAGCTCAAATAATTTGGCATGCTTAAGTAACACTGCTAAAATATACTGTATCAACCATGAAGTCATCATGTCTGGACTACAATGAAATGTGATGCAGTTTAGAGAAGTAATATTTTAAACCTCTGAGGCTGGGGTTGTACCACTCCCTGCTTCAGAAGTTCTTTCAAGACAGGGTGCAGATTAGCTACACGTTTCTCCACACGTGCATTTCAACATTTATGATGACGACGATGATGATGATGATGATGCAATTAAATATTAATGTAAATCTTGGAATTATTTTCTGTTGTTGACATTTAGCTTTAAAAGACAGGAACATACTGAAGATAACTGGGAAGACTGCATACAACATTGCGTTAGTGACTCCAGTTGTAATCTGTATGGGTCAAAGAAAGAGGCACCAATGGGTGGCATATAACTGGTTCTGCGTACAATTATAATCTGTGGTAACACTTTTTGTACTAATGATGCACATTGGTTACAGAATTTCCATACAAAAGTGTAATTTGAAAATATCAAGGGAACATGGTCCATTTCTGCACATGTGAGTTGCTATCGTCCCATACAAGCCAGCAGGTTATGCTAAGTAACCGCCAACCAGTTTGAGGTCCTCAAAAGCTAAATTCAGTATTTGACTTTTGAAAGAGTCTTGTGCTTGAGGATATCTCATGTACAAATCACACATACTAAAGTGTTTTTGGATTTTCATATTTTTGTACCTTGTTATAATAAGGAACAAGTAGAGAATAATTCCACATTGAAAAGCAGAAAGGAGACAACTCCCCACTCAAACCTGTTAAATTAATGCTTAAATCTGATCACCACGTTTTCAAGGCCATAGACTGAATCTGAAAAGGATTTGATTGGGTAATTCATATCCATAAACCAATTACCTTGAATCACATTACAGAGGGCAAAGACAATTTCCCAGAGTTTACATGGTTGAACTTCTGAATCTGATTACTCTGGAGACAGATTGGAACAGGCTTTGATTTCCCATGTAAATGCACAGCATGACACACAGAATCTGCTTATTTCTTTCATAGTCATTCCAACTGCACTTCAGGATGATAATTATATTTAAAACGATTTCCCACAGAGCTTTGCCTACAGTGCCTCAAGTTCAGTATTTTGCTGAGCTTAAAGGTGTTTGTTCTAGCGCTACCTGAGAAAGGCTATAAAAAAAGATGGTCCCTCACAGACAATTGAGACAAGGATCTCATTCAGATGCACCTTATGGATTATTACCACAACTTTCCTTAATTTAAGGAAAATCTGCTTTCGACTATATATTCTAACGTTTTAACATTTTTAGTGACACCCCACAAAGCCTAGTAGAATCAGAAAAAGAATATCAATATGACTGTCAATATGTCAATTTAGTGTTAATAGGAGTACCAAAATCTTTAGGTTTAGTCTTTTATTTTATAAAATTTACATTTCTCAGGCTCTACCATTTTATAAAATGTATATCTATCTACCTGTAAATTATATTGATTAATGGAGAACTGCTTCTCCAAAACAGAGCTCTTACAGTACAAAATTGTTCAGCAAAGAAGATGTTTCTATATGCATACCTATATTTAGTAATATAAATATTTCAGCTATTACTAAAATTCTGAAATTAAGGAAACTGACGTAAAAACCATAAGGTTAAGATTTTGAACTTCAAAATGCAGTGCCCTGAAAATATCATCCAAATTTTAAAAAATGTTCTGCATTTTGCACATCTGTTAACTGTTGTCTCATTAAAGGGTCTAATGAACAGTGGTATTATTATTCTGTGCATTAGCCACATTTATGTTTTAAAATACTGCTTCTCTTTGACAGCAAACAGAGAAAACTGCACAGTGAAAATAATAGGTGACCTGTATTTTAATGCTACACCTGCTTTAACGACAATTTTTAAACCGCAAAAAATAGATAATAAGAGTGAATATAATTTTCCTTATTTATCCAATATAAATATTGTAAGTGCACCAATTAAATGTTCTAAAATGTCATTCATCCAACGTGCTCAATTTATTTTTATTTATTTCTCTAACAGTTGCTAGGGAATTCATAAATGCTACACTAAGGAAAAGAGATAGTATTGAGCAAAATCTTGTTTCAACATCAAGTTGATTGCATCAGTATTTGGGGTCGACCATATTAATTAACATCATGAAGATTTCACAGAAAATCTAACAATCTCAAGAAGATCTGACAATCTGTCTTTGTTAAAGTAGTGTCTTTTCAATGTCCACAGCAACTCCTGATTAGTAATAAAATCTGTTCTTTTTTACGGATTGTCCATAAATGCATAATATGTAAAAATAACAATAAAATAATAATAAAAAGCAGGATGTTTCATTACTAAACATGTTATATCAGCAACACAGACTTTCCTTTTAACTTATCCCACTGAATTCAGCTAAAATAGTTGCAAAGCTTTACAATTTTCAAAGCTATACAATTATTATTATTTTGTGTACTGAAAGCCTACCTGAATCAATAACTACTATTAAACAGGTTGGATGGGCTGAACAGCTTCCTCTTGTCTGTAACCTGTTTTATGTTCTCATGATCATGTAATCCCACTCATCACTGGCATGAGTGTCATGGCAACCTTTCACCAGCTACCCCCCAAAACACGCAGTTTTCCAATTATGTAAATTTAAATTGTGGCGTTTTAGCTGACCCAGGGCTTCATTTTATCCCTGTGGTCTTGCTGCTTCACTACTCCGGAGACTGTAACTCAAAGTCTCTTAACCACAACCCAGACGCACATGAACTCTGGGAACTCTATGAGCTTCACAGGATCCTAAGGGAATTTGTGCACCATAACCAGATCTTAAACCTATGAGTGTATCCTGTAACCTAAAAACCACAGACCATATACCAAACCGTGATCAGGTGACAATTCACCAATAATCATAGTAAACCATAACCTCCAGCCTGTAACATGAACTATACACAGGAGTGTTCTCTTTTGTATAACCTCCTCTGGGATTAGAGATAGCCTTTTTTGCACTCCCGACGAAACCCTTAGTACTAGGCTGAGGCCAGAGCTCCTGTTCCCAGGTGATCAGTGCCCCTGGAGCCACCTCACTGCAACATTAAGGCTTACTTACTTCAGGGCTCCCCAACACCCAACCAGCAAACTTCTAGCTGAAGGGGTCTGGGAGCACCAACAACCCAAACCTCCTCTGGAGTTAGAAAACTGAGGTAATATTTAGCGAAGCCCCTCAACAGCAGTAACTGAAGCACTTATTTAACACCTGATGTATTATATTATAATACAAGCTCAGAAACTCATACTTACTAAATTAACTAAAGATGTGCCCTTAAACTACATGGGCTGGAGAGATTTATATTCAAAGATAATAAAAGAACAAGAAAGCAGTGGTTCTATGCAGTAGCATTAAATTTCTTGAATTGTATAACATACAGTAGGTAAATTCATGGCGACTGTTATAAAAATGTTTCAGATCTAAACCTTGATATCTTGAGCTTCTCCTGGTTTCCATTTCACTTGAGCTTTAAAATAATTAAATTATATTTTCATTTAGCTGAATCAATTAAAACTCTTGAGGTCCAAAGCTGCAGGGTCGGTATTGAAAATAAAGACACCTGTAGAATCTCCGGAATGAGTGTTCAAAGAAATTAACAACTTCCTACAGTGTGTCAACAGGGTTATACTAATTGGTCAATACAATTGCCCTTCCAACATACAGTTGGTGTTAAGGTTTATTAACTACCAAAAATGTGTTCACCTGACATTCTACCTGAAGCTAGCGTTCTTCTTCATCCAGGTTCATATGTGTTCTGTTACTGTGCACATCAATATAAGCTGATAAACCCCTCAAATTCTCTTAAATACATCAAAATGTATCACTATTATGTCAAGAAAAGGGTATGTTTATTTCTGACTCAGGATACACTTTAAGAATAAGACAGGTTTTTGTATTCAATTAGTGTGGGCCAAATATTCCTGAATGTCAATGTAAAATTAAATAACTGAGAAAAATCAACATGCAGCTCAACCATAAGCTGTCTTTGCTGTGCTTTCTTTTTACCCACTAAAATTCAAATTAATTTTGAGGGCTGTACACAATGGTAGATGGAATGGGAATGGTGCACAGGACTTATCAGATATCCAAATGCTATAAGAGAAGCAGCTTTCACTGAGTAAGCAATTTAAACACCACGCTCAAGAGGTCATGTTTGTGAAAAGCTGCATGTCTTTACCTTTAATACCAGTCACACAGCCAAAATCAAGACGACCTTTATCCAAACAAAAGAAATAAAGTACTGCTGTGGTGGACCTAAATGGCTCATTTCAAAGTGTATGGAGGAATGACTGCTTTTTCAAGTCAGGCTGCATCACTAGGCTCAAACAGATGTGGCCAGGTAAATAGAATATATTAAAAAGCTACTCACCAATTTGTAGACTTTCGATATAAGAGGTGAAAGCTCCATCAGGGTATATTTTTATCATTAGGAATATATCTGTATCTTTACTGGCAGTACTATCTTGATGTTCTGGCATAAGAGTCATAAATACAGGTGTGTACGGTTTTATAATTTCACTCCCTGCAAAACAGAAGAGGTAACAGACACACTGCGCATTTAAAGATTATTCATTATTAATAACTGTAGAAATCAAATAAACAATAGATTCTTCTGACCTAGTGTCCTAAGTCATCACTAAGCATTTATGACCCTGCTTTTAATGGTGCACAAAATAATATATTAAAAATACTAATAACAGAATTTTGGTGACATACAATATTTTAGCAGGCCAATATATATCACATAGAGTATGAATACAATTACATTTTAACATTCCCCTCAGTGATATTTCCCTTCTGAGTCTCTTTAAACTAAGTTCAGAAGGCCATGACAGAAGTACTGCGCAATGAGTGTCTGACCACATCAGCAGCTACTCTCCAAACCTCTATTGCCCCAACTTCAACATCACGGATCTGAGCAGCAGAAAAACAACAAAGAAGCAGTATCGAATGATGCCAGGGGATGGCCTGTGAATGCACCCAAGCACAGAGATGATATGAACTGGAGTTTGCATTTAACTAACGCACTAAATGAAAGCCCAACATAATATTAGAGGGAAAAATACTTGGCTTCATGATAATGGCATGTGTGACAGAATGCCTTTTGTTTTCAAACTGAATGTACGGTATATTTAATTTAAGGACTATAAGAATCAAACGCAACAATATATGTATAAACATATTGTGTTTTAAAATCGTGTTTTAAAAACAGAAATACATTTGCAGTGAGTGGATGCAATCAAAATATCGACATCTGAAAGACTGTTCAGTTACTGATTGAGCTTGTTTGTATAACTGAAAAGTCTCTTTACTCTGGTTATTTATATTATTTATTGATATGAGCTCCAAAATAAAAATTAAAAAGATTGAAGTGTAATACTTTCTGTTAATCATACAACAAAAGCCTGGAAATGTAACTCATCTATCTATTCATCACAACTAAAATGAAGATCTGCATGGAAGATGTCCTTTTCTGTTTTCTCTCTCTCCCTCTGTTGCTTTTTTTTTTTAATGATGCCTGGAACAAAATGATGCCTTTAATCTGTCAATGGCCACTCCTCACCTTTGTCTAGAAGAAAACTCTACTCCCCTTAAGCACTTACCCAGCAGGATACGGTATACATTCATTAATATTTATAATAGTTAAAGTTATGAGTTACCTTTAACCAGACTCTTGAGGTAAACGTGATTTCCGACAGGCACCATAAACCTTGTTCCATTTGGAAGTTGAAAACGGAGCAGTTTGGTGTCATGTGTTACAGGTGTTTTAGAAACCAGGGTACACTTTCTGAAGAAGATCCCTGCATAAAGAAGAAGAAAACTAACTTAATGGAACGAAAAAAAAAGTATTTTACTATCATTTCAAACAAAGAGCAGTTAAGAAAAACAAATCGGCACAGCAAGCGTGAGTCTGTGATTTCACAAATATTTTATGGCAGATTACACTGCACAGCATTAGGAAGACAGATTAACCTCAATATGGGTACTGCAAATACCAACATGGAGTACAAAGACAAATTTAAAAACAAACTTAAAATTGTTACCAAGAAATAGTGAATATTTCTGATTTGAACTACGTGCAGATGACTTCGGCTGATGTTTTTTTCCCCTATTTGTTGGTATTTTTTTATTGTGCTTCTGTTCTCTTTACACATAGGAGTTACCAGCAGGATTCTGGGAAATGTGGCATTATTATTCATCCCCACATGTTGCAACAGCTGCTCATGTGAAAAACATCCCCACTACTGCCGTCTGTCTCACACCACTTGCGGCGGCTAATAAAACTCCTGGCCTTCCCAGGGCTTCAGGGTTTCTATTTAATTGGTTGTGTGGGTTTCTTTTCTAAAATAATTGGTTTTAATCCAAAAAATATTATGGGCTCATATATGAATAACTTCATTGAACAAATTCAAGAGAGAGACACCTCAGTCTTTCACACAGCTCTCACAATTGTTTTTTAAAAATATTCGTCTTGATTTTCAAGATTTCAACAGGACTTGGTTTTTGATAAATGACAAAACCAACTTAAAATAAGTCTTGAGGTGGTCACAGAAGTCATAAAAATAAACAGAAAGACTGTGCAAAAGGGTGTCAGTTTACTAAAATTCTGTCCAGAAAAATATTTTAAAAAAAGAGAAACATTTCAAAATCAGTAGACGGCAGCCTTTCAATTAAAGTTCCCTGTAGTAGTGCCAAAAGATTTGCACACACTAGGCTGTGTTACACAGACAAAATTATAATACTCAGGCCAGATTAAACAAAGTCTATTCTCTAATTACCAAAACGTATAACATATATGATAGTTTGTCTGTATACACAACATAAATTTTGATTCCTGTGTTCAACATTAACTACTGAAGCAGGACAGTAGTGGTTGCGAGGGGTACCTGCAATACTGTAGGTTGATCAGGTTATCAGAGAGATCGGGGTAAATATGCATGCATGAGCCAAGCAAGATACTGTAGCTGCACTTGCAGACCTGGCTGCAGCTGGTGTTCATCAATGAGTAGGGGTTGAGAGGTCAGGAGAGTTGAGACAGATCAGAAAACATCACAGAGAAAACACCATGATGATACCATCAGTCGGGGAAGGCGGGTTTAAATCTTTCTGTTTAAAATCAGAGCTAGGATGTGTTCAAACGGTTCTCATTTGTAGGGTGAGGGGGGTGGTTTACAAGATTCCCAAAAAGCAGGGGACTCCAAATAAAGGAATGACCAGGAGGGGAAGAGTAAAAGTAAGCTCCCCCCATGGCTTAGCTCTAGAGGTTAGGAGCTCCGGACCTGCCCTATGGTTAAAGGTGAAACAGTAAATTAGTAGCTGACTTGGTTGTTGACATGTCAGGGCTGCTGGTAAGACACAGTGGTCCTGGCCAAACAGGATCAACTGAGAAAGGTTTGTACAGCTACGACAGAAAATATATCAGGTTATTAGGTTTTAGTTGTAGGATACGGCATAGTTCTGTCTGCCACAGAAGGGGACTTGGTAATTAAAATCAGGGGTTACAAGTCAGAGGAAGGGGACTTGTGATTTCCCCATGAAGGGATTTACTCAATTGGTTGTGGTTGTCGTTTACTTTGGCTTAGGTTGCAAACCCCGGAGGGGATTTGGGGTTATCATGGTGAATGAACTCAGGGTGGGTGAGGAAGGGAGAATGCTCCTTGGTTCAAACCAGAAGGAGGCTGTATAGGATCTAAGATGGATGTCTGCAAACCTAGGGTTAAAGTATCCCGCAGTGAGAAAGCCCTCAGACTGCATGCCGTGGTAGCAGGGAGCACTATCTGCATTGCTTGCCTGGGGGAACAGAAGCGCTGACCTTGGCAAGTCCCTGAATGTTTTCCCCGGGAGATGAAAACACAACCAACAAATAATCCTGGAGGGGACTACTGGTAAATGTTCTCTAGAGTCAGTGGTTTGAATAGAAGAGGCTATAACGAAGCTCACAGTAAGACTCTGGGTGTCACTGAAGTCTGGGTGTCCAGTTCTGTACTGACCATGCGCTCGGAAATAGATAGAGACTTCAGGTAAAAACTTCCCCAGAGCAGTGTGCTGACAGGACCAAAGAACAAAAGCCAAAATGCCATAAAACAATGTAACTGTGAGTCACCACAAGGGCATGGCAAAGAACAGCATTGTCATGGCAACCACACTGAGAAGTGTACTGTGGCTACACGGTTCATGATATAACCTTAGTGCATAGAGCTATCCTAGTTGGTGAAATAAATTGGATTTTGACATATTATTGTGGTACTGCAGAAATACCACCAACAGGTGGTTTTTGAAGTCTCAGTGTCAAAGTGCACAGCTGTGGTCTTTCTGAGAAGCTTAATGACAGATGAGGCTGAAGAAAACTTTGGATAGTTTATAGCTGTGATATCTAGGCTACACCATATTTTAGAGTTTAGAGGGCAACATCATTAGTCTTTGTATTTCTCACTTAGGGCATGACAAGTTATGAACAGTTCCTTCCACATGACATGAGAAACATCTTCTGTGTTTATAGAGAAATACCAATTGCAGGTTTGTTGTAGTGTTGAATGAGGTATATACAGTTCTTCATAATTGACCTTATTCATCAAAATATTTTAATCAGTTTTCTATAACAACATTTTGCCTGTTAGTAGTTTGTATTGCTATGCAGACGTCACCTTCACTATGCTTCAGAAGTAAACAGATAAGCCAGTAAGCCAGGAGAGCTTTGGAACAAAGTTTAAGGACCGATGAGACCAAGATATATCAAATCATTGTGATGGAAATGTAAAAAAGAAAGAAACGAACCCCAGATGCCCCAAAGAAATCTACGTCATCATAGAAATGCATCCTGACCTGGGCACTGTTCACTTATCTTTATTGATGATGTTACTAATAACGATAGTAGTGTAATGAATTGTGAAGTGTACAGAAACTTAAGTGGAAGAAAATATTTCCATACTTATTGGGAAGCACTTCACCACGCAGTATAGCAATGACCCAAAACAACAGATAATCAAGGAATTAATAAGGAGAAGAAAGTAGAAAGCTTAAGCCAGTTCAAATCAATCTCCAGATTTAAATTCAATTGGGCATGCATTGCATACAGTAAAGAAAGGAAAAACTGAAGCCTAAACACAACTTAAAGGGACAAGAAAAAGTGACTGAAGCAAAGCATCTTAAATTATTACCAACGTGCTTAGTGACATTAGCTGATTACAGATCCCATGCTTTTATTTCCCTAAAGAAATATGCAACCTCTGAACATTACTTGAAGTGAAGGTGTCCCAATACTTACGATCACTTGACATCACTGGGTCGGAGACAAAGTATGTTTAATGTTTTAACAAAATGCAAAGGATTTAGCAAAAAATAAAATGTTACTTATCATAATAATATTTTGTAGTGACCTTTCAAATGAATCTTGTAATTATAAAAAACAAAATACTTGACAGCAAAGCAAAAATGTTTTTCTTAATTTCACTGCCAATCTTAAAGCCTTTAAGACATCCATGCCTTGTTACAGTACTTCATAAAGGTCATAAGAAAATGAAGCAGCTAAATTATCTTACTGTGCAAACAGTAAAAAATGAGATGCCAATGTGTTATCTTCATGATATTGTTTACAGATTATTATAGTTCTGTGAGGTTTTTTTTTTTTGCTTTCAGGTGTTGGGGCTGCCATTTCATTCTCGATTTTGTTCCACGTCATATGTACTTTCCAGGTGTGCCTCCCATTCTTGTTTAATTTCTGGGGTTGTGTGAGAGGCTTCCCCTATTTGCCCTTTCATGTTTTTCAAGGGAAGGGGAGATTTTGGAGAGGCATCCATCACTTCCCCCTTGTCACCACTGACCACTATTTTGCATAACAGAAAGTTGAATCTCAGTGATTTAATTGCTCTCACAGCGATCTTGAAGACAACTTACCAGAGACATTTTGCTTCAGCAGGGAATTGTGGGAGTCCAGGGGTTCACCTAATTCTTGCCACTTATGGCTTGACACTTTTTTCATGCTTACTTCTACTTTTCCAACTCCACTCGATGTTTGTACTGAACAGAAAAAAAGGGAAAAGTATAACCGTGAACAATATGCTAAACGTCTGATATTAAAATATACTTACTGACACTACTTAATGCCAACTTAATCATAACTATTAAGTGCATCATTACTGTAACAACCAAAGATAGAAAATAATTAATCTGAATAACAAAAACAAAAAAATGTTTATAAAGAATGGACTGAATTGGCTATTCAGGTGGGAGTCACAGAGAGAAGAATTTGCATGTATGAAACGTGAAGGGACTGATCACACTGTGTTTTTCTTGATAGGATTAGATTAGGATCTGCTGAAACCTAGCGTATCGATTTTCATGATAGTCATGAGGATAACCATGGCTGGCCTGATATATCAACAGCGCAGGAAAGCTTCAAACAAATTGAATAACAGAGCTCCAGCTTTGATTCTCTCAGTTGTATTGCTGAACATATTAGGGTAAATAATTCAAAACTGCTGCTTAAAATATGCCAAATGAACAGTCCCTGTTGTTTATTAACATTATTCTGAGCTCTGTAAAATCCTTAAAATCTCAGCAGACCTTTATTCTTACCATGCATATAAAGGGATTTAATATGCAAGACTTCCACCTCTGTCTCAAGAGGCACTGCAACAGAAGTTCTTAAATACTACGTAAAATGAAACTCTGGACTGGACAAATGGCTAGGTAAATTAAATTAACATTTTGCAGCTTCGATATCTGGTCCCCTGAGGGGAGCATGTGCATACACTAATGAAATTTATCTTCATTTCCTCAACCATTTTGGTAAATTATATAACGGAGCTCCTGGGAGGACATGCCCCAGCACTGCAGGCTACATTTCTGTCTCCAAGCAGCATAACCTCCTCCAGGCCAGGAGTGCCATTTCAGATTTCAACCCCACTACTTCCATAATGGCTGATGTTCTCCTGAATGCAACTACAGTTGCAGCACTCATGCAGTGTGAAACAACAGCTATTAGTAGTGGTAGAAAATACCCAGTAAGGTTTGTGGGTGAACCTCTAAATGAAAAATACCATGGAAAAATATTTGAATAGTGTCACAATACATGTGGTAAAGGTACTGGGTTCAGTTTTAAATGCAGGCTCAGAGTGGTTTTGTGCGGCTGCTGAAAGGGGGATGGACCATCTTCAGTGTATTCATCTTTCCTTTCCTGCAGATGTCCTGACTCTTATTAATATCTAAGGAATTCAGCACACACCTTAAAAACAGCATAGCATGCAACTCAGTTAACTAGCTGTCCAAAGAAATGAAGTAAAAAAGACCTACAATGGTTTCCCTTGTGGGTGAGCTAGCATTATTGCGGCAAGATCACATCAGGAGACAGGAGACATGGACCACCTGAAGACGATTTACAACCACACCTGCTTCAGGTAGTTCAGAATATTTATCTCTGAGCCCTTCAAGTATTATTTACCTTGTGACCCTAGCTTCAATGGAATCCTGACCACTACTTGTCTTACGTCTCACCTTCAGATCTCACCTATGTTTGTTAGGCGCCTCTACTTAATCGGCCTGGTCCTCGTTTGTTTACCTAAGACTTTGGCATGGATTCTCCCCTAGTGCTTTGCTACTGTGTCTTCCTGGATTTTACCTTCGTTTTCCACTACACCATCTCAGACTGCATTTACTTCCTTGTTTCCTAGACTGCCACAGCACCATGTCACTCTGTGTGTGAACAACGCTGCTCAGCTTCTCCGTGCCCAAGCAGCAGTTTCCCTAGTCTGCACTCTACTCTGCAGCTTTACCATTTCATCTGCCTCTCCCCCAACATGTGGGCTCAATCTACTCCTTATAGATCCACAGCTAGTCCTTCCACAATAAGTGTATAACATAAAACAGCAGAAAAACTAAATACAAAAACAATGTCCAGGTACTGAATGGTTCAACGAATGAGAACAGAGAACAAGTCAACTTTGGAAACGCACAACTTATGTCCAAAATCTGTGATAGTTATAAAACATGAGCAAAAATTCTGCAGCCATAACTGGAGGTCCTCAGTGTAACTGTAGACACCGGGAAACACTTGGGCAGGTAATGTATTAATTAACTAATTAAAATATTCAGGCATTCAGACAATGAATAATCTGATGTGAGCTGAAATTATTTTTTAACTGTTTGTTGTGAAAATGTATCAGGTAGAGACCAAGGTTTTTGTGAAGAGTCTTAGGGAGAGATTGAAGATTTTGAAGCCAGTAGGCAACTTAACTGCCTGATAGATGAATCTGGGTTTTAGAAGTCTCGTATGAAGCTCAAAGTCTTGGAATTTCTTGTTTGGCTTACACTCCTGTGCACTGTAAATAAAAGGTAATTTCTCTTTACTTCATGGCTAATTTGTGTGTGTTTACCCTTGACATGCCTATCAATATTCCTATTATATGACACCCTGCACCAGGGTGCGTCACAATTTCCAAACTTTGAAGACATGACGGTAGTCATTCAACCTGGTTTGGAAGAAAGACTGTTGGAATAAAATAAAGCACAAACATGTGGTGACCCATTCATGTATTCATGAATGTTTCAAAGCTCTACCACATTAAAACAAGCAGTTTGGTCAGGTGCACTCTTCATTAAGAAGAGTGTGAAAATCAGACATTTAAGTACTTGTGTTTTTATGTTTAATGGAAAAAACTGAATTCTTTACAGAAATTGTATTTAAATTTGAAAGACACCTATAAATGTGAAGTAGTCAGATAAATTAAATTAAAACCTACAGTGGCTATATAAAATGTTTACAAGGAATTGTACCTACATCAGTTACTATATCTTTTTGTACTTAGAATTGCAATATTTTTTATTATAAAAATATGATATTTTCCAATTATGATTTTTTGAAAATTTTGAATGTTTCTGACTTTAGCATTTTCTCAATGTGCTCAGCCTTCTCTGTCTCTGTAAATAAAAAAGCTTCAAAATACTTTTATGTAATGTAAGCAACCTTTAACCCCAAACACATTTGATTAACACAGTTTGGATTTTGCAAGATTTATACAGTTAATCGAACAATTGTAACAATACACAAGCATGTACTGACCTTCTGTATTGATTGAATGCCCTTTTCATTAAATCTTCGTCAAAAAGCTTATTAGAGGGTTTTATATTCTTTTACGCTTAATATAAAACCCTCAGTGTGTCAGCCCTTGCACTGTCAGGGGGATTTTGGTGAGTCAGAGACAGTAGCTTGGGTAAAGCAGATTTTTTTATAATATAACAAACTCATTGAATTGCTGTGTCACGTTTCATAAGCTCCCAAAGGAGAGCTGCATAAAACAACAACAAAAAGATTAAACATGTAAAAGGGGACAGAAGACAAAAACAAGCTGTCTCTAAGCTATGTACATTGTCCATTTGTTATGTTTCTGATCTAAACTTAAAAGGACAAAGAGAGTGCAATTGCATTTTAATATTTAATAATGTTTTAGTTTCTTGTGTATTTTAGTACCCCACATTTGACTCCAAATATATCACTGAAACAACTCCCAGCCTATAAATTGTGTGTGATCTGTCCATATACACAAAGTACCTTCAATAAGTATTGGGAGACTACATTTTATTTTAAATCCTGCTTGAAAACGAAACAAAACAATTTTGTAAAAAAAGTTAAAAAAAAGGTTGTTTTTTTTTACTTTTATTCAACATGTTAATTGAATTTAACAATTTTATTTTTTATTAAATAAATTAAATAATAATATATTTTTTGTAGAACAATATATTTGAATATGCATTTTGAGAACATGTAGGTGTATGCAATGGTAATGACTAGATACCGAAAAAAAAATCTTCCTTTCTCTTAAAATCTTAATTTTACCATCACATATGAGTAACATCATAATAAAAGATGAAAAATAACTACAGGGTATTGTAGGGTAAACGTAACCCTAATACTTGTCTCACTTTTGAGAATTGCTGTGGAAAACAGTACAGAAACCAGCATGCTGACAAAGATGATTAACTGATTTTTAAATGAAAAAAAAAGTCATGTAAATGCTTGCTTCTGCAAAATCCACCACTTTTAGTACGGAACAGTATTATAAAAATATCCAATTACCTGATGTTTTTCTTTGCCAGCTTCACTTGCGGATCTGTACAATTTTGTATCCATAGAAACAAAGGGTAATGGTTGCCCTCTGTTCCCGGACAATGCAGGACTCCTGGCAATTATGAGCTCCACAGAGGCTTTTTTTAAAACCTCCCCTGGGTTTCTTTTTCAAAGTGGCATTTTTCTTCAACCGGTCATCTTTGAAATACATTAATGGCACAAAGCACACACTTCTAATATAATATGTATGCATTATGGGGTGGCATGGCGGCATGGCTGGTTCATAGTTCTCGCAATCTGAGTGGAGTCTGCGTGTTCTCTAAGTGGCAGCATAGAGAACACGCAGTCCAATGATATCCTGTTCTTGTTAACTGGCAACTCTATATTTTCACCCGTAGGTGTGTGTGTAAGCGAATGAGTATTTCTGTACAGTGTGATGGACTGGTGTCCCAGCAGGGTTATATCCTATTTTGCATCTATTATCTTCCAGGTTAGGACCTGGCTCATTATAACCTTGCATTAGACCCAACAGTTACTGAGAACAAAGAGATTGAATTATTTTATACTTATTTGTAGGAGAACTCAATTAGCAAACATATGGAAGAACATGAGAATGATTACAAGTGAGAGGAGGTCATTCAAACCATGTAGCTTATTTGGGTTTTAGTAGGTAACTAATCTGAAAATATGATCCATCTGTTTCTTGAAAGAAGCCAGTATTAAGAAGATCCCCAGCATCTTAGGGATAACAGTTATGTTTTCTCGATAAGTAGTCAGAAACCTAATCTAGGGCATAGGTGTTTATATTTTTATAGGAAGTAATTTGCATTTAATTGCTTAAGTGTTTAGAATGTAGAACCTAATTTCTCAATCCTGATGTTATGAATCATCGCTTTAATAAGGCAAATTGTCTCTTATTATAACTGACTTATATCTGTTAATCAATTAATTTCAAAAATAAAAGAAGAGGAAGATTACAGCCATAATCAATAACGTATGGTACGTACCAGACACAGTTTAAGAATTATTTTTAAAGCACAAATTGTTTTAGCTTTCTCAGACATGAGTGCTGTATGTACAGTACAAACATTCATTTAGTATCAGTACTCAGAGATGGATATAATTGAAATTCTGTGAAAATACCCTGAAATTTTAATGAAGGAAGAAGCACATTTCTACTAATGCTAATGAATAAATATAATCCATAAGCTTGAAGAAAAACGACTTGCCAGATTTTTCTTCTTTGGGAACCAACACTGCAAACAGTACTACTCGTATTTCTGGAAAAATGCATTTGTCATATCAACATAGAGAGAAAATCTTAATATCTTCTCTGATGCATTTTCATTATGGCACTATTTTATTGAATTAATTACTGTAGTTTGAAAGGAAGTAAAATCAATGGTCACTCACTCAACAGAGAGCGGCAAACCAAAAAATAAACTGTATAATAATGTAAACATTCTCTCTATATACATTAAAAACTAGCAAGAAGGTTGTTTTGATTGTTTTGAAATTAGAAATGTATTTTTTGCCTCTGTAGTATAACTCTGGCTAAATTCAAGGAGGTGTTTGGAAATCCATTCCATATATTTTATAATATAGAAACAATATTAAATATTGGTTTATATTCAATAAAGTAGGTCTGACTTATTTTCTGGCATCAGCTAATACAACATTTGTCTCTTAAAGTCCATAGTTACATTAGTCTTTTTCTTAATTTGTGCTTAGCTGAAGAGCTTCATAACAGAACTCTAGTTATGAAAAGGATTTATAATGAATGTCAATGTGTGTTATTTCTCAAAAACACCTCAGAAGGAGCTAAAGGTTATTTATCATCACGGGAGAAAACAACAGCAAAATGTTCACAGCCTCCAGGCTAACAGCAAACTGGTGTCAGCTGTGGAACATATCTTCCTGTACTGACACAAAGACAGTCCTTTCACTGAAAGGTATTACAAACACTATTTTTTATAGTTAGTGCAAAATACACCATTTCATTTCTTGATTCACAAAATGTGGTTCATCAGTTAAAATCTAAGAAGCAAGTTCCTACAACGAACTATTATTAATTAAATTTCAAGACAAAATAATAAAAATTTATCACAAAGCTGTTTTTTTTTTACATTTAGTTCACTTACTAGATAAATGTTCTTGTACGTCTTGAGACAATCCTGTAATAGAAAACAATTAACTTTATGAACATGAAAGTAAAATACATGTGTATGAACACAGAATGTTTATTCATCAATGTCATACTGGGTAGCATGTGAGAAAGCAGCATTTTAATAGTTATTTCAAATCCCTCAGTTTCTTTTGCTTTCACAACCAATTTTTATGCACGTTTTCACATTCTTGAACTTAATCTGACTGATTTATACCCTCGCAAAATTCTTCTTGTCAACAGGTATCATTCAAATATAATATGAAAAGCTGAGATGCACGTGGTTAAAAAAAATAATTCAGCCCTAGCACAAACTGAGAACTAGTCACCCCCTTAACAGTAAATTACTGAGTGTAAAGTACTTACTTGGAAGAGGATCTTTACAAAAATGCTGACATCTTTACTGAGTCTAACAAGAAAAATATTCACACGCTTGAGTCACATGGCAAAGACTAAGGTAAGACTGAGACCCTTGCTCCTGAAAATTGATTTAACCAAAAGTCTCTGGAGAACATGAAGGATTTCCTGTACCTCAGACGTTCTCTCTCACAGATAACTAACTGATGCAGTGGTACAACACAGCCAAAAATGCACATTTGTACCTTCTTGAAGTCATGCAATACGGACAGCACTTCACGAAAGACTACTGCCTGGGACCTTCTCCTATGGAGAACGAGCAGACTTGCAATGACTTAGCACTTCAAAACCATACGACAGCATCAATGGGCAGAAAAGCGGCTATGGAAAAGCTCGCAATTTCAGGATCACCCGTTCTACTCTGAAACACATCCCGTGTGGTAACACACGGAACCAAAATACTAGTGATGCTTTAGAGCTGAACTGAAAAAGTGCACAACTGACATGGTTTATGAAAACATCAGAGAACTCTGAGATTTAAGTAATGCAAATGATTTTTCTCTAAAAACTATTTAGTTAGCAAAACATAATTAGATCAGGATTTTACCACTGAATTTGTGTACTACTACAGTATGTAATGTATACACTGAGAACCTTTAAATACTCTTCTGAAGTGCTGTAAAGTTCATGTGTTCTGTACAATCAAGAATATTGGAATAAATCTCGATCATTATAGATTAATAAGGAAATCATTCTTCACAGTGAAAACAAAAACAACAGCTTTAAATAGTTGGGGTTAAAACTTACGGAGGTGCATTAGATAGGAAAGTTCTCCAAGCACCACTTCTAATCTCAGTGCACCATCGATAAGATCAGCAACTACACACTCTGAGGTCAGGTCCTGTAATATGCATAGACAGGTTAGTATTCACTTGCAAAGTAAAGATCAGTTCACAGTTTTTGAAAATATTCTTTATTCTTGTAACTGCATTCCATTCATCAGGTGTATTGTATGTGGCATGTATTTACATTTGAATGGGTATAAGAAACCTTCCGATGTCATAAACCTTACTGTCTTCATTGAAGTAGTGATCTTTAGAGCATCTGCAGTTCCTTTCTTTCTCCACACCTTTACTTTTCCATCACTGTGCTAAAGGTTTATCTTCATTTAATCTGTCTGTAATCTGCTTCTGGCTCATCTGTGCATTTCTCAGAAAATTTTAATCTGGCTTCTCAGCTCTTGGTGGTGATGAGAGGTTTATATCTTGCAGTGTAGCTTTTCAAATTCTGCTTTAGCAGTCTTCTGCTAAACTATGATTTTGAGGCCTCCACCTCTGCACTTGGGAAGTTGCTGGTGAATTCACTGACCACTGTTTACAGGGCTTTCCTTAAACTCTGATGATATTTCTATTATTGACTGCATTACTGACATTGGAACGCATGCCCAAATTCTGTGCTATGGTTTTCTTGAATTTTATTTTCTTTAAACTTTAATAATTGGCTGTTTTTTTTAACAGAAAGGTTCATCTTGACTTTCAATTGTGAACTCCAAACACTAAGAAAAAATAGCCTACTTTAGCCTGAAAGCACAACATGCCCAAACATAAGAGTCCTCAAGCAGCATCAACAGCATTTGCAAATGACTTCTAAATTATAGCCAGTAAATAATTAGTCATTGAAAATAATTTGAAAAATGCCTCATAATCTTTGTATATGTCTTTTTCAACATGGAACAACTGCAATGAGCTCTAGATGCAAAACCAAGTACCTAGATGCAAAAAAATAAAGGATCCATTACAGAAATGTTGAGAGAATAAAAAGTCATGGAGTCATCGCTCAAGACTGAAAAACAGAAATATAGACATTTTGGGGATCACCTGTTATTTGCAGGACAAAATGGTAATTTCTGGGGAAAAAACTAGTCCTCCTTGTCAAATTTAATCAAACAACAAAACAGTAACATGGTATACAATGTTAATAGAATGTGTTTTCAAAAGGCTCAATAATGCTGATCATGACAGAATTCCTGAACTGTAGCTAAAATCAGTTAAGCTATATGTGGGATGTGGGTTAAAAACTAATACCATAGTACCAAAGACCTGTAATGATCAATTATCTACTAAGAACATGAAAAAATAAATGAAGTAAAGAATGGTATCCTCTACTTTGCAGCCATTATTATGTATTAGAACTAGAACTTACATTTTTAGCAATCTGCATTCTGGAACAGTTATTAAAACATTAAAACATGTAAACAGAGCTTTCAGATCACACTTAAAAAAGGGGAGATATAAAATCTTTAGAAACAGGGTTTCCAGCAAAGCTTATAATTACACTAAGAAGGAATGCGTGGTAATCTTCATATTGCCTTGAAAAGACTTTGATTCCAGCCTTTAGGAAAGTGTCTGAGATGAGGCCCTGTGATAAGCAAAATGTCCTGACACCAACTAGGACCTCATAAATAGCATCCAATTAGAATTATCATCCAATTTCCAATTCTGCCCAAGACTTTCTCTTCAACAAGTGAAATCTTGTGACTTGTGAACTGTAATTTTCAATGAATTATTTGTATATTATAACTAATAATTATTTGTTACTCCAATTAAATTAATACAGCTGGAATACCATTACATTCAGTGTTACAGATGCACCATGTGAAGTGAAAGAAGAGTTTCTCCTCACTTTTTATCTCATTTGCAGACTGAACCAAATTCACTATTTTGTCCACAAACTGTTGGAAAGCCACCTATGATTGCATCTAAGTTGATTTCTATCCATGCATGAAAAACTGAGCACAGGGCAACACTAAGCACAAACTTTTTCTGTGTCATCGGACATCTTTAGCACAGAGTTAGTGGAAGAGGACTGGACAAAGTTGTAAGTGTTATGCACACAAAGACACATTCCGTTCAATATGTCATTTAAGGGGTAAACACCCATATACTTCTCTAAGAAACAGCAAACTGTAGTACTGGAGTTTGACAGTTGGCTAGATTTTTTATGCAGGAATCCAGTCAAATATAACTGTTGTGGAATGGCATTTTCCCTCAGAAGTAAATGAGGGCGAGACCAGAAGCTGCAGGTAACTGTATCCTGTGTATTTATATCTTCTAATGTAACAGTAACACCACCCATCACTTGCCTGAGATTTCTAAAATAAAAACACAGGTCTCTCTGACAGGATTTTCAAAGCTTAATCCACCTGGCCAGCATGTTGTTTGTATGAGTATAAATTCAATAACCACATCAGAAATCTCAGAAGTTAGACTATTATTCTAAACACATTTTGATTAAGTTTAGTTCATGACAGTAACTGAAAACGTACTTGTCTTTGAGGATATAAACACTAATTAACTGTATGAGTGATTTAATGAGTTGACAACAATTGTTATAGTCAATGTATTATAAGTCTGATTTTATTAATATCTTTGCACCCTTGAGTGAATGATCAGCCATTTGTTTCAAGGGAGACTGATTCACAATTATATTGCTTTTGTTGTTTTGCTATGCACACTCTGTTGTTGTGTAAATAAAACTACACAGTATGTATTTTGAATCCATGTGCCTATACTGCTTTTCATCTTATTCAACTGGTTTCCTAGCTCTAATTGTTCTAAAAAATTCAACCTTCACATCGCAACAGCAGCAAAGGAAAACTTACATTCAAACAGATCTTGATTCAGGACAAGGTAAACACCCACAAAACTAAACTTAACGCAGAAAATATTTCCAAGTAGCAAAAACATATGTTCTAGATATACGACAGTAGTAAAACAAATAAAAAAAAGATTAACTGTTTATACTGATCCATCATTTTCCCCCAAACAATTTAGAAATGCAAAAGAGGCAAACAAAATGTTACACTATGTAAATAAAAAACATTTGTATCAAAGCTAGTTAAGTTAAAATGGTGCAAATCATTGGTGTAATCTTGTTTATGGAGCTGTTGCTGACTGAGAGCAGCAAGCACTTCTTTATACAAAGGATTCTGGGAGTCTAGAATAATGTTATTGAAGTCTATACTCTGGGAGTAACAGTGGGTTGAGACCCTCAGACTGCTTAGTTATTAGCAACCATGTGAGCCAGAAGAGGCAAAAGGCCTCTCGCTCGTAACTTTTCCACAGATATTGTGTTCTAAACATGTAGCTGATTCCAATTTAGCATAAAGCCTTTGTCTACTGAATGAAAAGTAGAATGACATCTTTAATAAACTGATATGACAAAGAATTATTGACACATTAAGGCAGAAGATCAATAATGACAGTAATAATAACAGAGATTTAGATGTATTCAAAAGAAAACAATTTAACACTTTCAATCGAAAGCAATCAAAAATGGCGTCTTAGCTGTAAAAACTGTCATACCTTTTGCTTTGTATATACAACAATAGTGATAGTTGTGTCTGTTTGGAACCAGTCATATCTGAAAAAAAACAGATAATAAATGATTTTAATATACATGTTGAATACATACACACAACTATAGCTTATTACAGCACATATATATATATAGCTTAAGATAAAGGACTACCCAAGATTCTTGTATTAAACGTTTATCACTGGGTCTTTGAACTTTAGTTGCTGTTTTTTTTAGCCTCTTAGTCCAGTTCAGCATTTTCTTTGTATGGCAATAGTACATTCTTCCTTTAACTTGCCCAGTTCTCATAGTCATTTTTGCTCTAGCCCATTCACTTCTTTGTCATATCTCATGATGTAACACCACATGTACAGTATATAGGTATGCATATACAGTATGTGTAGCCAATGACTGCACAGTCATCTGAATATTTCTTACATTCAGGCCCTGTTGTACATCCATGTGTCACATAAAAGCACTAAGACTTTTCTAAGGAGGAACAGGCATTTTTCAAATTATACCCTGACAATTTGGAAATATCAATAGTTTCTTTAAAGCTCAGCTAATTTCAAGCAACTCTTCTACTTCATGAATAAAATGAAATGAAAATGAATAAAGACTGACAGGGGAGCTTTCTTCTCTTGTTTACGTACCAGATGCAACACAGTATGTCTCCTGTGTATCTTCAAGTCTTACTATCCTCATATATACCAGTTTGCTCACTTGTTTGGCTGGCTCTAAGCTCCTCAATGTACCAACGACATCACATTGTAAGTTAGGGGACCGAGCCTTTTCTGCAGCCACTCCTAGTCCTTGGAATACACTCCTTGATCATTTTTAAAATGCTATACATCTCACCTCAAAATGTACTTGTTCAGGTGACACCAATGCTGATGCTTTTCATGTTTTACTTAACAGTCTGTCAGATTTTATAAGTTGGATGTCTCAATTTTTAACAACCTGATCAAGACAGCTGTTATAAGAGTCTTACTAACAGCTTTTCCTTCTGTCAGCCCTGAACCTGCAGTATGAGGCTGTGTTGCCTGTGGTGTGTTAAAAGATGAGTGGTTTGAAGGTAAGTGGGTCAGTCTAAGCTCTCGAAGTCTGCATGTTAAAATGAATTAATTAGTTACAAAATGCCCAAACTCTTTACTCCTTTTCAACAGAAATTCAAATTAAATCGGAAATACAGGATTTTTCTGGTTTTAAGAGCAGCAATTTAGTTTTATGGAATTTCAATGCATTTACATTTTACCGTTTTTCTGTTTTATTGCGTTATGCAATTCTTATATTTTTGTATGTAAACGCCTTTTAATTGCTTTGATGTGAAGAGATCAAATTACAGAAGAATTGTTTGTGTTATGTGACTCCACATTTAAAGTAAATAATGCTGTTGAGTGCTACAAAAAAAGCGTGAGCTTTCTAAAGGAAGAAAACTAAAGCTAAAACCAGATTAAGTGTGACCTTTCAGCTTTTAACTTCCAATCTTTTCAAAGTAACTGCAATGTCAGTCAATTGACTGGGTTTGTAACATAATATGAGTGACCTAAGATTTGTAGAGCTTTTGTTTCCTTCAGAAATAGCACATATGGTTTGTTATATGAAACTGTATAGTGATACAGGCAGCAAAACGTGTTTTATTTCTTGAATAGAAATACAGTAAAAAATGAATTTGTGCACTAGAAGACTCGGCAAATGAAATCGGTCTTATTTTTCCCACTCTTTTCGAGCTCGGGTTTCCATAATAAAAGGGAATGACCTTGTTTGGTTGGATGTTTTATTACTATTATTCCTTCATCTCCTCAGAGACTATTGGAATAGACACAATTTTAGAATTTCAAAATTGATATGAAAGGTGAAGTGACTAAATTCTCCAATCTACAGTGCAAAACATCTGCAAGGAGCTTTTGCCAAACAAACTTTTCTTTCCTTTTGTTTTGAGTCTATTGTTTGCTTTAACCTTGACTAGAACCCTCCATATAGGTATTTGCTTTAAGGAAGCCTGGTCATGCCATATAGATTTTGTACAATAAAACAGTAATTAAAAGTTTAATTAAAATATATTAGCATAGGAGCCTTCCTCTTTTCAATCTGGACAGAGAGTTTTATCAATAGACTTGTTTATAAAGTCTCTTATTGCCACCTGCAAACTTTTAAAGGCTTACTGTTCCTTTGCACATATACTTCTCAAAAACGATATACAGAAAAGGCTATTCTTACCCTACATTTGCCTGTAGGGTATTTGTTTTTGGTGGTATCATTCGATTTTTCTAAAAATAGTTTGTGAAAATACTGTGATTAATGGATGAATGGTTATTTATTCATCATTGGTGTATTTAAATGGGTGAGAGGCCAGATACCCTCCAGTCAACAAGAGGGTACCATGGAATCAGGCCGGCACCTGTCCAATTACTGTTTTCCAAGTTTTATTTTCTGTCCTCTTTTTATTATCTGTACCTGTAAAGCACTTTGAGTGGAGTGTCCAGAAAAGCGCTATATAAGTGTAAGCAATTATTATTATTATTATTATTATTATTATTATTATTATTATTATTATTATTATTACTGTAGGTGAGTAATAATAGCTACAGCTAACTAAAGCGAACGACCAAACAGCATCTACATAGAAGCCCTTTCTGTTTTCTATTCCTGGCCTGCCACTCAGATGGCCTCTTCCACAACAGGTAAGAGCATGCATTCTTTATTTTTTTACAGTCTGACAACAAAATGTGAAGGCCATGCAAAGGCATCTCATTATAGAGAGCACAATGGATTCACATATCAGCACATATCTTTAATAAGGATGGCCGTCACTTGTTCCAGGACTTCTAATTGCAATACTAGCTTACTGGCTCTTTTTTGAGTTTGTATGTATGTCTGCCTCTACAATGCTTCCTCTACAAAGCATCCATGGTGTTAATGGGTCAACAGTGAGGCACAGGGCTCCCCTTATAGTGGCTAAACCATAATTTAGGAGTCTTTAAGGAGAAACTTAGAGGGAGGGAGATTTTGTTTTCTGTTTTATTTTAAAACTAAGACTTGTTCACAGACAATGATTTAAGACATACAGAATATACAGAATATATGTCTGCTTAAAAGTAATTTAATTCTTAATAATAATGTGGCAGTAAGCTCTAACACTGACATTGGGAACAGCCGTCGGTTAATAAAAGATCATGTCAGCCAGCCATGAGGATATTAAACAAGGTGAAATGTTCAAGAATTATCCTACATATGTGGGGAAGACTTATTTTTCAAAGAGTCCCTTTGTAGATTGTGTGCATTTGGGAATCTGTATGTGTTTTAATGTTGGAATGACATTTTTAACCTTTTGACCACTGTAAACTTAATTATTAAAGATATGTTCAGTATGAAGAGCAGCAGCTGCTTAAAGTTTCCTACATATAGAACAAACAGCTCCATCATTAAAATCCATCATAACTACATACACTGTTAATATCTGTAAATTATTTTTTTAGGGGTTATGAATAAAAGCCGAACTTATTAAGGTTGTGACAAATTGGCTGACAGTAAGCAAAATAATAAAGAAATCAGCATTTCCCAAATATGAAGTCACTATGGCAACAGATTTTTTTCTACAGTCCCCTGAACATTAAAAATTTCTTCTGGGAGTTTTTGGAACTAAGCAACCAAGTTATGACCTCTGATTTGTCACTGACATCAAAATTATGAAAACTGGTTTTCGATCATTGAGTTCTCTCAGTTTTTAGTTCTCCTTTCTGTTTTCTAAAAATCTGCAAAAGAAAGCTTTTACAAAATCTTACACATGTTCAATGATACAATTTTCAGATGACCAATGACCATCAGTTAACAGCTATCACCCACTGCAGGTTCTCTATTAGTCACAATGTCATTAGCTTGCTCGTGCCTGATCTTCACAGCACCAACAAAGAACCGTGATTCCTCCCATTTTCCTCAGATGAAAATGTGAAGCAAACCTACAGGGAGCAAAATGAGCTCGACGACAATGTACCTCATGAATAAACTTGCGTCAAGACATGCACATATGTCTTTGCCAAAAAAAATAGCTCTCTGTTTCAAATTCTAATAAAACGTTTTGGTTGCATTTTCAAACTGAGTATAGAAAGAAATAAAAATGTTGAAATCTAGAGCTCTCAGGTTTTTTTGAGAAAAACAAAGTATCTGAAACAAAACTCCATCAAATATCAGAAACGGTAGTAAATATAGAGAACAATAATTTAACAAAAGCACTGCTAAAGCTATTGGCAATTATAATTTTGTGAATAGGTATCATTCATTATTTACAAGTCACTAGTAAGGATCATTTTTGCATATCAATGTACAATGTACAGTTTTCTTAATAGGCTCATAATTGGCCAGATTAATAATCTACTCCTTTATCAAGTGTGAAGTATGTAATATGCTACATCAGGCCTGATTCATGATCAGTTGTCTTAATATGAGAGAGTGAAGCTTTATTTTACTATTACCATTCTTTCTAGCCTGTTTGGATGTTAGTAGTTTATTCATCCAAGGGTGTCATCCAGGATGCCAATAAAACGTCCTTCAACAATAAACAGTAGGTGGTATTTCACATCCTCTCGACCTTCCTCCATGGAAGTGGAGACCAGAACAGGAACAGTTACATACTCGTCATACCATTACTAAGCTACATAATGATGTAAAAAATGACCTGAAGACTTTCACTCATTAGAAGTCATCTCTGCAGTGGAAAAAGTACACCTTAAATGCTTGTCTGTCTGGAGAACATAACCTGCAATCATTTGTCCTTTCATTTCTTACCTAGTGCAGAAGAAAACTCAACTGTAATATCACAAAAGTCAAAATAAAGCGAAACATAAATATGTACTTTAGACTGTAGTAGGAAAATGAGATGACTGGAATGTTGTGGATTAAAAACTTTACCTAGGAGTGATGTCTTTGGAAGAAGGTTCACGTTCTTCTGCTACAGGGACACCTGGGAAAAGATAAAAGTGAAATTTTAAAGGTAGTGCTTAAATGTAAAAAACAGCAATTCCAAAGCCTACAGAACATCCATAGAGAAGACTCTAATTCTCTACTTTGCTTTTATGGAAAATTATGGATGAAGGACATGGTAATTTAAATGATCAGTGAGGTATTAAAATTATTAACCGTTTTGAAAATGTTTTAACAAGTGGTAATAATCTATAATCATAAATGAGTCATACATGAATAGAACGTCTTCAATACTACAGAGTACTGCATTAAAAGTTTAAAAATAATTACCAATTACGAGTTGCTTCTGTCCCTTTGTACTTGAAGAATCTGTAAAGAAAAAAGTCAAATATGATTGTGTTATGTAAGCTTCATGTGCTCACACTAGAAGACTGCCATTATGAAACCCCTATTACTAGAATAAATCAGTAATTAACTATATTCAAATCCAAAAATTGTAAGAACATAAAATATGCTCTTATATTTTCTTAAATAAAAGCATCATAAAAATAAATGCTTTCCATTTTACATTAATATATTTTTACAATTTTAAAATATGAACAGTAAAAAGCCCCTAACGAATTGAATACTGATAGAATTCAGAACATGTCCAACTTCGATAATTTACATTTCCAAGTGTCAAGTTGCTCAATTTTGAAACACAATTTCATATTCATTGAGAACTGATCTGCAGCTTGGTTAGAAAAAAAGCTGCCATTCCAGACTAAAGGCAACGTTATTTTACAAAGCAAGTCAAGTCTTGTGTCCCATTATACTAATTATCTATTTGTTTTTCTCTTGAATTTTGTGGGTTGCAAGGTCACATTAAAGACGGAAAAATGTCTGACATGATTTATCTTGATATCTGGCTTTATATCACAAAAACCTGCAATTTCAAAAAGGGTGTGTAGACTTTTTATATCCACTGTAAATGCAAGAAAGCTGGTCAGTTACTCTTCCTACGAGTCTAGCATCATGCCTCGAACTAAGGAAACATCAGAAGAATTAAGGAAAAAGGTAGTGAATGCTCAGCAATCTGGGCAAGGCACAAGGTTATAAAGCCATTTCAAAAAGTTTCGGACTCCATAAATCCACTGTTAGACAAACAGTATACAAGTGGAGGGCTTTAAAAACAATGGCAACCCTCCCATGAAGTGGACGTCCTCCTAAAATGTCACCCAGGGCCACAAGGTGAGTAATAAAAGGGGTAAAAGGTAATCCTAAAATAACATCCAGAGATCGACAAGCCTCCCTAGCTGCCTCTGGATTAGTGGTGCAGAGATCAACAGTAAGAAGACCCCTGAACAGAAATGCCATCTATGGAAGGGTCGCCAGGAAGAAGCCTCTTCTGTCAAAAAAGAACAAAGCTGCCCCTGTGACGTTTGCCAGAGACCACCTGAACAAGCTTGTAGAGTTCTGGAAGTATG